TTTTTTTTTTCTTTTAATGTATTTGGTACAGGGTCTCACTACATAGCTCAGATTCATAGTGATGCTGCTGCTTTCAGCCTCCCCAGCGCTGGGATTACAGGAGTGCCCCACCATGCCCAGACTCAGTGGCTGGCTCAGCACACCCAAGGGTAGGACTGGTGCAGCTTGTGTTGCCAGGGATTGAACGCTGGCCCTGTACTTGCCTAAGCAGGCACTTAGTCTGCTGAGCTATCCTGCCAGCCCAATTCATCCACTTTAAATGTATAAATTATTTTACACAATTTGTAGAACTGTATAAGCTTTACTATAATCTAGTTTTACAAAACTTTTATCACCCAAAAGTGATCTTTACACTACAATTAATCCTTTCATATCCAACCCTAGGCAACCATTGGTGAAAAGTTACCTTTTCCTGAACATTTCATACAAATAGAGGACACAGTATGTGGTCTTTGTGTTCAGCTTGTATTGCTGTGCATTGGACTTCTTTTTAAACAAATATCTCATCCCCTTTGCCCAGCAAAATGGCACCTCTAAAACACAGATTTAAGTGTGTAAAGAAGCTACATTTTTCTATGTATGACACTATGGTTAGAATATGCCCTGTCCCTCCCAAAACTCACATTGAGGTTTAATCCCCAAATATAATAGTGCTGAAAGAGACAAACAAGTTCTCTAAGCCAACAAGACATGGTGACACACATCAGTAATCACAACACTAGAGAAGCTGAGGCAAAAATATTGCCTAGAGTTGGAGGTCAACCTGAGTTACAGAATTTCAAGGCCAGCCTAAACCATAGTATAGCAAGACCTTGTCTCAAAAAACAAAACTAAAACAAAAAAGACCTTTAACTGGCTGGGTGAAGCAGGATGTGACTGGGTCATGACCATTCTTTTGAAGGGATTAATGCTCGTCTTGCAGCAGTGGGTTCCACTCCTATGAAAGGAGGTTGTTTTCAGAGGAAGTCTGACACTTGTTCTTTTGCTTTCTCTCTTGCCATGTGACCTCTCTTAGATAAACTCCCACTATATGCTGCCACCTGCTGTAAGACATACAACACAATCTCTCCAGAGACTAACCAGATATGGCCAACCCATCCTATACTTATAGACTTTCAGCTTCTAAAACTGAACTAAATAAATCTCTTCTTAAAGAGAAGTAATTACCCAGCTTCAGATATTTTGTTGGACTAAGATAAGTGATGCTTTCTCTTACTTGAAAAAATAATTAAGTCTTCTGAATATGGGCTGCTTGTTATGACATGCCAGTTGGTGCTATGATGTCTCTTGGGTAGATGGTTGTTCAAAAAGTAGGGGGTGGTGAATGAAAGCAAGAGACAGGAAAAGGAATATTGTGGGACTGTCCTGCTTCAAGGTTGTATATGGTGAGATATTTGGACTTATGTGTAAACATAAGAAGTATATAATTCTTTATGCCTATTTTTAAAATATATTCTAATTTTAAAATTTTTTTATCATATTCTGTAGGGACTTAAAGTTCAACATATCAATACTTGATGAAAAATACCTGTTCCATATTATACCTAAGATGTTTGGTATGCAGACAGATAGTGAGGTTAAGCTTAACAGCCTAAGTTGTATGGTAATAACAATAAAATTGTCTTCTGGAGGTTAACAACCTAAGTTTGCAGACCAAAATTAGAGGAAAAAAGAGGGATGCAAGGAAAGCCAGCATTTTGGTCCTAGGCTTCCAAGGTCAATTAAGACTCAGGACATATGAGAACTTGTACTGTAACGTCATGTAACTCAGTGGTGTCCCAAATTTTCTGATCAAGAAGATTTTGGGGCCAAAGAGGAAAGTGATCGATGATGTAGAGTGTGCTTAAGGAGAGTCTCATGGAGAGAAAATATTCTCTCAGGCTTTCACAGAAAGCACATTGGCCAAACAATGGCCATGACTCATCCACACGGCTGACACTGACAAAGGTTCTACAATCTGAGGTACAGGATCTCACGATAAATCCTGAGGGGATTTCACTGACCTTATCAGACCCAAACGCTACAACTCTTGTTGCATAGGTCCTGCTTCACCTTGGTCTTAACCATCCAGAACAAAAGTATAAAAACGAAATATAAGAAGTAAAGCCGTGCTATTATGTTGAGCTGTAGGGGACTCAGGTCAACAATTTCTGACATTGCCAGTCAAGCAGAAC